TTTTTCTGGACTAAAAATGCAGCTAAACTATTGAAATAATATCGTAATTAAATTTTGATGTTCAATAGGCATCTGTTAAGAGATTTTCGTATGTTAGAAATCTGTAAATAAATTTATTTATTCCGAAAAATATTACTAAAATATGCGAAAATTATATTTTCTAACATCATTTTGTAAATGTTTTTATTATTTCCACGAAGATGTACTTTAGCCTGCTGGATACGAATCCGTTGTCTGTTTATCATAATTTTGAAAAATATGTTAAAAAGATAAAATCAATGATTTTTTTAGAGCTTTTGTGATGTTGCAGCATTAACAGCAAATTTTTTTTCTAAATTTTGTTAATATGCGAATTTCAGTAATCTTTCGTTTTCGAAATATCGCAATTTCAACAATAGTTCTTTTCCCAGGTAATATGGAAAAAACATTTTATTCCATCTTAACATTGCCTCATATGGAAAGTGCTTTTGTACTTATATAATATAAAATAAAGAAATTATAAAATAAAAAGAATAATCTTGAATAATATTGTATTTTCGTTTATTTCATATTTCTTTTTGGTTTCATATAATTTGATTACATTATGTAAGTACAAAAATATTTATTTCCCCCATAATTCAATATTAAGATGGAATAATCTTTTCCATATAATGTAGATATATAAGAAAAGAGTTATTTTTAAACTGCTGTATCTCGAATACAAAAAAATCGAAACGAAGCAAAATGCATTTTAAAAAGTTAATTTTACATAACATTAACGAAATTTAAAAAAAATTATTACTAATGATACAACGCCTTAAAAATCTTCAAAATCATTTTTATATCTTTGAAGTTTCTTAAAATTGGGACATGCCAAATTTTAACAATAGAATCATGTTTAACAAGCAAAGACTATTTGTACTTATATACAAAAAATAATGTTGGACAGTAATTCTTTCAATATTTTTTCATATATTATACTTTTTATATACTATATGTATATGTTATATACAATATTATTTTTACTTTCATCAGTTTTTTATAAACATTCCAATTTTTCCTATTAAATATTAAGTGTGGGAAAAAATGGCGTTTTTCTCGTTAGATGGCATTAAAAAAACGCCACGAACTTTTTCCCACACCTAATATTAATAATTGCTAATAAAAATATTGTTGTTGTTCATTATTTTACAAATTTATTTGTAGTAAGTAAATCGAAATTGGTGCGTAGAAGAATATTCTCGGTAGTATTCCCTGTAAGTAATGCAGTTTTCTTATTTTAATTTATCTAACGAGCGTAATTTAATTACATACATTTGTAATGACTAGTCACTATAATTGCTTATATATTTTAACATTATTAAAAAATTAAGAAATTAAATAAAATATTAATAAGCTTAAGTACAAAACAAGAAAGTAGACTATATAAATTTTAAATATTAAATCAAATAAACATATAATGATTAATCTGTTATACACGAACGTATTTTGTTTTGCTTCGTTAAAAACATTTAAAATAAAAAAGTATGGATCCTTGTATCGATATAAAAATTTACATACTTTTTTTGGATGTGTATACATTTTTAAAAAATAAATTTGAAAGAACAATCTCGAAATGCATCAGAATTTAGATTAAGAAAAAGTAAATCAATGAATAAATGATAAAAAAATAAGATACATAAAAAAATAAAACAAAATAAATAAGCTAAATAATTATGCAATGTTATATAAAGAAAAATTAATATCAAAAGATGAAATGGAAAATACGTTAATAATTATACT